CAGATATATATATATATATATATATATATATATATATATACAATGAATCATTCATACAAAAAGTAAATTAGTAAAGTTAATGATATAATTATTTTTTTATGAATGATACATCGTAATATAAATTAAATTGCACCACATTTTTCATTTAAAAGATCTTTTCTGACATGCAAATTTTTGGTATAACAACTGAGATATTATTCTACTTATTGAACTATTTAGTTCATGCGATGTTAACCGATAAACTCCTACAACAAAGAATTCTTAAATTGCCATATTAGTATAAAACACACTCACTTAAATTTGCAAAAATTCAACCTTAGAATTGTGACTGCACATTCTGCAAACTTGTATCCGTTATCAATAACACATTAAAAAAGAAAAAAAAAAAACCAAACAAAACCAAACATATTTTGATTTAGATTATATTTTTGTGTCTTGGATGCTACCTGGATTTTACCAAATACAAAATAGTTTCCATGCCTGATGATGAGTGGTAGAATCATCGAAAGTACTTGTGTATTTCAAGAAGACCTAATACAGTTTATAATTTTAAAAAACAAGGATCATAATATTCATTGAGTGATTGTTAGGTTAATGTATCTTTAAAATTTAGTTAGCAAAGAGATTTCGCCATTTTATAACATTAATTTTACTAATTTACTTTTTGTATGAATGATTCACTGTAATAAATTAAAATTAATATATATATATATGTATTATATATATATATATATATATATATATATATATATATATATATATATATATATATAAAAAATGGTAGATCTTAGTTGTAAAGGTCTCAACTGGTGGACCTAAGGAATGTAACTTATCAGAACATTTTCCATGGAAATGCCATTAAAGTAACAAGGGTTTGGCAAAGGAGTTGTAGGGTAGGAAATAATCACCCACAAGGCTTTGTAACCACATTTGAAGTTAGGATAATAATATGAAATGTCTTTAGAAATTTAATTTTTTCCTATTTTTTCAAAAGCATATTTTCTTTCACATAAAATTTTTTCTAATTCATAAAACTAAATGCAAAGTTGATGTTTTTGCATGATATAGCAATTTGTTGTGATTTTTTAGATATTCCTAAGAATTGCACAATTAAAATGAAAGTCCTTGACCTCCATAAAATCTTTGGACTTAAACAAAAAAAAAAAATGCTGTGTAAGCTGATGAAAACATTACTAATAAGTAAACTATTAAATCTTTATATCATATAGACATAAGTATAAAACATTTATGCACTAATTATCTGTATAATAACAAGTATTCTATGACTTTGAAAAGAGTACCCTGAACCAAATGTACATGGTCTGTTCAAAATTATCCAGCCATTTAATATAAAAGATTAAACAAAAACAAAGCATACCTATGGCAATGGTAGGTTAATCTTCCTTTCCATTTTTTAAAACATTTCAAGACCTCTATTGGAATTTGTCGTAACCTAGGGAAGGTTACTGAATAGAATAATCACACGAAGGTTGGTAAGGAATGATAATACTTAGGACAAGAAAAACACATATAAGATTTGCCAGTGGTACGTAGAAGTAGTAGTCAACTGCTTCAATCGAGTCAAGTGAATTCCACAATGAATCTCCAACTGCAGACCAACATACAGTATTTACTACAGTATTTATGTGAATGGTGACATACCCATTATAGTACTTGGGTATGCTACAACAGAATTGCCATTAGTTTCCTTGCCTTATTCTCATTAATCATGTCCATGGTATTTTAACAATGATTTTTAACTTTAGGAAAATCCAGAATTTGTAGGAAGCAAATATGAAGGCTGACAGACCAGGGTAATATAGTGTTTTGACAAAAAAACACTGCACAAGACATGAAGAATCTGCTCACTTGCTCATTGTGTATGTAATCACCATATAATACACAACTTCACTCAATAGTATCTCACTGTTGACTGAGTAACACCATAGGAGAGTGTCTGTTCATGCATTCAATGTGAAGATCCCTGTTGACTGAGTATGTCAATTAAATTTGGCTTAATAGCAAATATTTTTTTTGCTGTTGGAAATGCTTATGATTATGCAAGAATTAATATGCCAGTAATGGGTTGTTTGGAAAGAGAATGAAATATCTTGGTCTTCTCTAGTCTCTAAGCTCCACTAGAGGCATTAGTATATCTGTGATATAGTAACACCTCATTTTACCACTCTAGAAAGTACCTGACACCTTCTGCCATGCTTTATTTTACAAGAATCAGATTAGACTAAAAATTAAGTATTGCTGCCATATCTTGGCTGAGGCTACCAAATCTTTTCCAGCATAGAGAGATTTCAAAATCATTTACATGGTCTTGTGCTGTGGTTTTTTTTCTGCAGCATCACAAGCTCATCACTACCCTATTGCTATTTCCATGCTAAATGTTCAGAGGAGCTCCTTTCTTTAATTCCATGAGTTCATGCCTTTACAGCTAAAAGTCATCAAGCTATGTACACAGAATTGAACCTCTCTCATTACCTCCATATTCCAATTGTAAGGAGGAAGTTACACTCAGTTTTTTTTTCCTCAAGAACTTCTACTTTGTAGAACAGACTCCCATGTGGATTCTTTCCCGAACACTACAATCTTAGCATTTTCATGTCATGGGTCAATCATTATTTATTCTTCATATCCTTATAATCTTCACTTTTTACTACAGCTTCTTACATTCATATTACTACTTCCTTCAGTAACCCTCTGGCTTGAGTGAACATTAGTAAAAAGATAGAGTGAAGGGCTAGAATAAAGAGATGAATTCCAAATGAGTTATACATGAAAACACTGAAGTACACAAATAAAAACCACACTAAAATGCAAAACATTATACCACAAAGAAAAATTAAAACATAAAAAGCGGGCTAACATGTGACTCAAGAGCCCCTTAAGACATCAATTCTTCCTTTCAAAAGGGAGATAAGTACCTTTTACATTTCTACACCAGCATTGCAAGTCATTGAGAGTGACTATATTCTGTTGATCCTCCATCAATATAGCTTAATGCTAAACTCAACAGCATCTAATTATTTTTAGAAATCTTTATTAAAGAAACTGTTTCTCCTTAAAAATGGCTATTCCTTTTTTGAACTGACTTGAAATGTTACTTTTGATGGAATATGCATTTTTTTTTGTTTTTGCTATAAGAATACATTCTTTTTCACTGAAGAAACAAAAAATTATCAAGTGCTTAGAAAATCTAATTACACATTTTGAGTCGAGAAATTTACAAGCAATCAGACCTTTTCAACTAGCATCAGGCTATAAAAATGTCTCCCTGATAACATGGTAACCTACTAATCAGTATATATATATATATATATATATATATATACACAAATTGTTATTGTTGCTTTTTTTGGTTACCACTCTGATTTTCTGTCTGTTATTGATGTCTTCCTTCTAATAAAATTCCTTGCGTTTCAGTTCAAACTCCTGAAAGAATTACTTTTGTTTAAACATCTGTATTTTACTTATTGCCTGATTGTTATACACTATTGTCTTGTTTATTTGAGGACTGTGTTATATTAATTGATTTGTTCATTGATTTATATCTTGTGTTCTGTTTTTATTCTCACTAAATGGTGTTCCTGTTTCTGCCGATTCAAATGTACCCATGCATATGACAATTTTGTTTTCATTAGAATTTTCTAGTGTTCTTTTTAAAAAAGTTTTCTTCAAGATGCAATGAATACCTAAATGATTATCAAATACAACTAAACTAACAGCTATATACAACTGCTTTCCAAGATTGATGATTAAAGGTAGTTCCAAGCAAATGAAGCCCATGGGTTTTTGTGAGGACCATCCATTTTTGAACCTTGTGGACTGACATTACAGAATCACAAAGACCTGTACCAAATAACAGTAACCATATCACGTGACGACTTCTAAAAGCAGTAACAATGAAAATGGATAGCACATGTAGTTCAAAGAGAAAATAATGACAATCAAGATGTTCACATTCTACACTACTTCAAACAAAAGGTCAAAGAAACCCTTGTCAATACTGGAAAAGACAATAACAGCTACTGGACTTGAAAAACCTATTTTCCTGAAAAATTGTTTTAATAGAAAGATTTTATAAATTTTAACTGATTGTAGCAGTGGGTGCTTGGTAAATTAATGCTGAATGTTTCTTTATAAGGAAGCTGCTAATATTACTGTTTTGACAGACCAGTGCTACAAAATCACAAACAAAAAAATTTACCAAATATCAAAAACGACATCACTTGAACATTTCCAACAGCAACAACAAAAATGGGTAGCATACATAATTAGAAGGGAAAATAACATAAGATGTTGACTTTCCACATGTACAAAAACAAAAGGTTTGGAAGGCAACTGCTATCAGATACTATAAAGAGCAAAAATTTTAAACATTGATTTCCTTACTAGATTGCTCGATTCCTTACTAGATTGCTCGATTCCTTACTAGATTCCTTGATTACTAGAATAATTTTATATTTACAACATTCTAAAATCTAATACCATTAGAACTAATGCAATATTTATCATTTCCCATTTTATAAAGAAATGTGAAAAGTTTTTATTCATAAATTTATAAATATTTAATAAATTATTAAAATATGTGAACTATAAGGAATTCCTTATTTACCATTTTATAAAGTTCAAATCAACTGGCAGTTAGCTAATGTTTTACATACCATTCCCATAAAAATATAAATAATGTTTATTTTTTTTTGTCAATTCTCAAGAACAAAAAAAAAAAAAAAAAAATGTATAAATTCACTTTCACATGTATAAGTTTTATTAAAATTCTACTCATTTATTTTAAGCAATAAACATTGCCAAAGACTAAAGGTAGGTAAAAAAGTAGTGTCATGGGAAAAACTGTCTTTTGACACTCCATCTTATTGCGGTCATGCTTATCAATGTTTGTCAAAATGTTTAAGCTGAAGAAAGGCCTTTGATGCAAGGAAGGTAATCGATTAATTGATTCAATAATTAATAAAAAAAAATTTACTTACTTGTCTTTGGAGTTCATATTTTTTCAAATCACATATAATAAATACCTGTAAAAAAAATCAAATCACATAATAAATACCTGTAAAAAAAATGTTGCCAATTGTTAAACAGAAATACATGCTTGAATTATAACTGCAGATGATATTTATGATGGAATAAATAATGTAAATATTTGATGAGAGGAAATAAGTTCCTTGAAGGGATGGCTAATTAAAATGGAGTTTAACACTGTTTAATGTGGGTCGAAGAAAACGAGTGTTAGACATCTTTAATGATCTTCTGGTTGGTATAGTTTTGAAATGGTTTAAATAAAAAAATGAAAAATGTAGGTTTTCAAACTTTATTTTCTAGCAAAACAATATTAAAGGAAAGATATCTGGAGAATGAGCTGCTTATATAATTTAGATGAACAAATCTGGTTTTTTTCTTTCTCTTATCTTCAAGTTTAGTCCATTACAATCATTTATATTTTACAGCTTATTTTACCAATTTACTTTTTATCTATTATTATTTTAATATTAGGTTGTTGTATATGTTCATTTGTTTTTTCTGATGTTCTACAAATGATCTTTTATATCATTTTTTGCTTCTTAGTAACTCTGGTCATCCTGTGAAACTGTTGCCTAATGTTATTGAAATTTTATTTCAGATCAGACAACGCTTTGAGGTATAATACCAAGTAGGCCAGTAATTCAACATCTCTTTACTTTTAATCAAGGCACCAAAGTTGTTCAAGACATTTGTGCTGTGTATGGAGATGACTTCATTACAAACAGAATGGCACAGAAATTGTTTACCTGCTTCAAGGAAAGTGAAGCTATAGGCTCTCTGTGTTCTGGCTGACCTGTTCAGTTTGATGAGAACCAGTTTCACACACCACGCCAGACTAATAGTGAATTGGCTCTGAAGATGGCAAGCTTTCATGTTACTGTCACTTGTCATTGTTAATTAATGGGTAAGTTTCAGAAATACATCACACGAGTGCTACATCCACTGACAGAGAGAAACAAACTCCAACAGTCCTCCATTGCCACCAGTTTACTCAACTAACACCAGGACACTCATGGATACAAAAAAAAGCTTGGTTGGGAAGTTCTGCCATGCCCACCATATTCTCCTGAATTAGCCCCTTCAGGCTACCACTGTTTTTGGTTGCTTTCTGACTATTTAAGGGGTGTCTCATTCAACAAGGATGTGGAGCTTAAAACACGGCTTGATGAGTCAAAACTTAGTGATTTCTATCATTGAGGCATTGATCAGTTAGCGGATTGTTGGCAGGAGGTTGTAAACAATGAAAAGGAATACATTGAAGTAATTGTCAGAATTATTAATAAGTATTAAATTAAATTATAAAAAAATGAACAGATTTCTGTAACAACTTAATACTAGTTTTACTCTGGCATATTATTGTTGCAGTTATTTTATTACTATCACTCCATCTAATTATTATTAGTTTTTAGATGAAACATTTTTGCTATTATTATACTATTACTAGTTTCAATATCTTATTATTGTTTTTTTGGAGGAAGCATTTTCATTCTTATTGTTTTATTACTAGTTTCACTTCATATCATTATTGCTTTTTGGAGGAAGCATTTCAAATATTATTTTATTACTAAATTTTACTCTATCTTATTTTTTTTAGGTCGAGCATGTTTATAAAGCACTTACTTGACGTTTAAGAGGTTCATTTTGTTTAGCAACTTGTCCCAGTACATTTCTGTCAACATCCAAATCTCTCCAGCATAGCACCTGGAAGGAAAAATAAAAATAGAAACATTTACAATTGTTAAAAATGAAACATGCAATTCGAGATATTTCCAATAACAATTGGTAGGTTTAGTAAAAGTTAAAAGTGTGAAATTGGAACAGTCTAGTCAAACTAGTTTACTAAGGACATAAAAAATGTCATTTCATACCCTGAATATTATTAGTTTTCTGTATGTGAATCCTTAAATATATGAATATAGTAAATTAGTATTAGGAGGTTTTCAAATGCGAGTCTTTAAATATATAAATGTACTCATATTTGGACTCCAATTGTTCTTTTAAATGCACTAAGGATAGAGCCTTGGGGAACACCTGTGTTCGTGAGAAAGAAACTGGAGGAGAATCTGTTTAGGACAACCTTCATTACATAGTTTGATAGGAATGATTGTATTAAGTCAAATAATCGTCCTGAAATTCCGTATCCCTAAAGCTTATGAAGAAGGCAGGCATGCCAAATGCTATCAAATGCTTTAGAGATATCTAGAGCCACAGCTTGTTATTGTGAAGTGCTTGGTAAACAAATTCAGTTATGGCCATGAACACATCAGCAGTAGATCAGGCAAAGCCGAAACCATATTAATTGTCCGAGAGCATATCATAGGATGTAAGGTGCTTAACCCCTATGTCATTGATTAAAGCTTCAAAGACTTTGCCGAAAAGTGGTAGGAAACTGATAGGACAGTAGTTAGATGGGTCAGAAGAGTCACCAGAGTTCTTAAAGACAGGTACAACAGATGAGGACTTCCAACAGGATGGAGAGCAGGAGTCGTTGAGGCAGTAGTGGTATAGTTTGGAGAGGACAAGAGCCAATTCAGGAGCATATTTCTTCAAGATAATGGCTGGCATCTCGCCCCCACTGCTAGCCTTATGGGAGTCTAAATTGGAGATGATACCCAATACCATTGATGGGGGTATGTGCAACTCGCTCAATAGAGCCTCAGTTCAAGGAGAAAATCAGGTGTGGGTACAGTGGATGAGTTGAATTGGATGAGAATTTCCGAGCAAAGCATTCAGTCTTATCAGCTGAGGAAGTCGGGACCTCAAATTGATTGAATAAGGGAGGTATTGCGGATTTGCTGTTGTTCAGTATGCTCTTGCAGAGATGCCAATAATCTTTGGTATTGAATTTGTGAGATGCAATACATTGTTTCTTTCCTTCAGATAATTGTGACTTTACTTCAAAAGTCAAAATTCCATTTGGCTTGAAGTTAGCTAGTAAATTAGTTTTGAAAAAGCTAAGTAACCTTTGATTTTTAGGCAATTCTTCAAAATGTAGAGTGTGTTCCCTAACTTTTGCTCTACAGTGTTCAAAATTATATTAGGTTGGTGCAAAAATAATGTCGTTTTTTGACGTTAAGTTGAACGTCAAAAAATGACATTATTTTTGCACCAACCTAATATAATGCATGTGTTCATGCATACATGCCAAAACACACACAAAGTCCATCAATTGTTTTTGCTTTAATACTGCTGCCACATCTGGTCTGGTGCTCCTGCTATATATTTAGAGGTTCTTGATAAAATCCAAAGAATCTGCAATATTATTGGCTCTGTACTGGCATCTCACCTTCAGCCACTTTACCCACAGCCATAACGTAGCTTCTTTGTGTCCTTTTCATAAATACTTTAATGCTAAGTATTCTGGTGAAATTTTCTCAATGGTATGTAGACTTTATGAATTTAAGCGCAGTACTAGATTGGCAGCAAGGTCTCATCATTTTACAGTTGAAATTGATAGATGTAAAACTGAACAATTTAATGAGCTTCTGTGAATGGATGACAGAATATGGATCGATTCATTTTATACAGCTTAACCCTTTGAAAGTTATTTAAAGCCAGAAAATATCTTTAGATTCTAAAATTTTTTTCTTTTTTGGGGGGGTTGATAATGGTTTCATGATACAAGTCTTATTAATTAACAGAGGGAGAAGAGGTGGATTCATATGTTTCTCAAGAGTATTTGCACTTAAGTAAATATAACGAGTCCAACAGAAATTGGGACTTGGATCTTTGATTAACAATTCTGAGCCATTATCCATGACACCACCTGCACATTCGGGTTTACATCTCCTGGTATTTACAGGCAGTCACCCATCTAGGTACTGACTAGACTTGATATTACTTAACTTTGGTGATTATATGAGAATCAGTGTTTTAATGTTATGCGACCGTAAGCAAGATAGATTCGGGACAGAGAAGAGTCAAACATGGCCTAGAGCTACAAGGGACAGGGAGTTGTGGAGAGCCATGATTGTTCATCTCATGAAGGGATATGACACATAAATGTTGAAGATGATGCATTTATTTCCTGGAATTCATGTAGGCAGGTTAATGAGGAATAGGAACGGATATGAATCTCTGCTAATTTTTAGTGAGGAATAATCTGAACTTGCTTGAAGTTCTGAGGAGTGAAGTTTGGTTTGGAAGAATCAAATATTTTGTCCTCTTAAACTAGAGGGAAACATTTTTGTTTTGTCCTCTTAAACTAGACCAGGGAGGAGGGTGAACAGGGAGGAGGGTGAACCTATCTACTCCTATTGAAAGAAAAAAAAAATAAATAAAAAATTAGTAAATAAAATTTCAGATTTTAGGCAGAAATGTTTGAAGTATAGAATTGAAGTGGAAGAAACCAGAAATCAAAATCTAAAGTTTACTTCAATTCTATACTTCTAACATCTCTGCTTAAACTCTAAAATTTTATTTTTTAAAAATTTATTTTTTCCTTCAATAGGAGTAGAGAGGTTTGCCTATTGTCCCATTTACCCTCCTCTTGATCTTTTGAATAGGAGTAAAGGTTTATCCCTTGTTTCCTGTTAAATTGTTGGGTTTCCAGTTCCTTCTAAAGTATTTTCCTTCTCTTTCACTCCTAGTAGCCCCTTGTGTCTTAGTGGCTTTATTGCCTTGCTTGGGATGGATAGATTAAAAACAAAACTGAAAACACTCAGAATTGAGGGTTCTACACAAGGATAGGGAGAATACCATCTATGGAACATGGGAGAAATGTGGAAATGTAAGGAAAACAGGAACAAAAAAGACTTAATATTAAAAAATTCTGGGACACAGTGAAGAAATTGGGCTTGGAGAATTTAACCCTCACAGGGCATATTGAAAGCAAGAGCAGCAGAAGGAAACGGCAAAAAAACAACTTAAACAGTGTGTGTAAATGGCTGGCAGAACAGGATCTATAATGGATGGTAAAAGACAAACATTGCTTAGAGCTACAAAGAACAGGAAACTGTGAAGATCCATGATTGTCCACACCCATTGTAGAACAGATGTTTTTGTTTAAGTATGCAAACTGCAGGCATGTGACTACTTAGGAAGAAATGGTGCTAATAAGGCATAATGGGAAGTAATTCAATATTTTTTTTAGAATCATATTGTACAGCCTTCTGGATAGAAGTCTATGTAGACGACTATCTTAAAAGAGGCTCATTGTTATTGAGTATTAATGCAAGGCCAATGTACCAGCTGATTTTAGTATCAATTACTGTTTAGAAAGGTGAAGGAAGTCAGTAATTTTATTTTTTAGGAGGACTTAAGTCACAAAATCAATTGAACAAAACAATGACATTATGGAGCTGGAGGTCTAAAGACAAGAAAAGCTCTGAAAAATAGTGTAAAAGAAGATGGGCTTTAAAAGCACTTTCAAGTTAAATTAGGCTTATATCCTTTTATATATATATATATATATATATATATATATATATATATTATATATATATATATATATATTTTTTTTCTTAAGGAGAAAAATCAAACAATTATATATATATATATATATATATAAAAATAATAAAGAACAGTAAGATTTACAATCTGGTGTTCTTAGTAATTATTTTTATTTAAAAAGTGCTCAATACAAAACAATAGAGCATAATATTATAATTATTTTCTATTTTAAAAATATGGTTCCATCACTACATAGGAGTTACCATGTTTCAAAACAGAAACTAAAATTTTAAATTTAATTATAAAATTTAAAATTCATGAATTAAATTTAAAAACCATTTAAAATCCATAATTGATAAAGTGAAAACAGAAACTAAAAATTTTAAATTTAATTATAAAATTAAATTTAAAATCCATAAATTTTAAATTATGAAATTAAATTTAAAATTCATAAATTAAATTTAAAATCCATTTAAAATCCATCATTGATAAAGTGAACTTCCTTGATATAACATTAGATTTAATGAATAATATACCTTACAAAAAGCCCAATACTAATCCTTTGTATATACACTCAAAGTCTAATCACCCTCCATCTATAATTAAGTATATACCTTCATCTATTGAAAAAAGAATAAGTATAAATTCAGTAAATGAGAAAATATTCTATGAACATAGTAATTTCTATAATAAAGTTCCAAAGAATAGCAGCTATAAATGCCCAAAACTCGATTATATAAAAAATGAAAACGGACACATAGAAAAAAACGGAAAGAGCAAAATCATTTGGTATATACCCCAATCCAACCAAGTGGTAAAATATAAATTAGAACAAAGATTCCTTGCATTAATTGATAAACATTTTCTTAGACAGTAAACTCAGTACAATTTTTAATAAAAATACCCTTAAATTAAGTTACAGTTGTACGTATAGTCCATTAGTTATTAGAAGTAGGAACAGTACTTTAAATTTGTAGGAATAGATTTTAAATATTAAAAATACGACTTACTCATATTCAGACAAACCTTTTAAGAAATCTTTGTGTATAAAATTATAAATTAAGTGGCCAAATAAAAATGCTAAAAACTTTACCATTGAAAAACAAACATGACAGGTGAAAAATGGATTTGTTTGTGAGCAGGCACCCCTACTCCACCTTAACTTAACCTGATTTTGAAAGTAACTTATATTTGATATAAGTTGTCTAGAGAAATTAAAACCCAACCAAAATGATTGAGTTTTCTGTAACCTTATCAATTTAAAATATTAAGATTGTCTGTGCTTATAAATGAAGTAAATTTCTTAAGTT